CATGGAGAGGCTGATGGTTTCGAACTACTGACCTTGCCATTAGCAGTCCAACACATAACCCACCAGGCCCCAGAAACAAGTAGGAAAAAATACAGCGCTTGTGAAAACAGATGACAGGTGGGAAGAGAGGTTGCGGTCGGCAAACAAACATCAGGGAGCATTACTTGTGTAAAATATGGTACTAACCTTCACACGTGATATCTCTTCTTTGAGGATCACAGTTCTATGGCCGAGCAGTTCCCCTCAGTAACACATGGGGTCGCCATGAGTCGGGCGGGGTGTTGAGGAAGCCCAGGAAACTCCAGTCAGTCAGCTGCCCCTGTGTCCTCCATTGAAATAGAGTGGGATGTGGCAGAGAGGCCGTGGGTTTATTTTTACTCTCACAAATGGGACGTTGATGGCAGCTCTTTAGGGAGCACATCTCACGCAACTGTCCCTGCTGTCCAGTCAAGGCTCATGCATCGTGACCCTACCGGACAGGGTCGAACTGCCCCCGTAACTCTCTATGGGGGCAGAAAGCCTCGTCTTCCTCTAGCAGTGCTGCTGGTGGTTCCGAACTGCTGAGCTTGCAGGTAGCAGCCCAATGAATAACCACTGACCCAACGGGCCTTCCCCTGGAGCAATGTTATGAGCGCCGTTTTCCCAGCAGCGTGTGCTCACTGCGGGTCTCTGGGCCACCTGTGGGTCCCTCTCACAGTATCTTGCACTTTGTCACTATGTCAATGTGACTGTGGCTGGAATGAGGGGCTCAAGTAGCAGCAAGTGCGAGGCCCGCACAAGACCGGGCAGTATTTCCTTCTGTGGCACACGGGTCAGTAGGAGTCAAAACTGATGGGAGGGCGCCTAAGAACAGGGACGATCGCACACTCACTAGACTACAGTCCAGTGCAGACATTGGAAAACCAACAGCTTCAAGCGACATGCTTTACTGGGGTCTTTGCTTGATGGTGGTGGTCTGGGACTAACCCCCAATATCTCTAAGGAGAAACTGATAAGCAGCCATCAAGAGGTCAAAGGAGCATTTCACTGGGTAATCTGCTGCACAAGACGTCTTTAGGGTATTGAAAAGCAGAGGTTATTTTGAGGACTAAGGTGTACCTGACCCAGACCCTAGTATTTTCAGTGGTTTCATATGCTTGTGAAAGTGGGACCCCGAGAAACAGGAAAGAACTTGGAGGCAAAGAGCATTTATAGAGGTCTAAATACAGGCATGTACATATGTAAATATATTTATATATGACTATGGGGAAATAGATCTTTGTGCACATATTTATAGGCTTAGTATTAAGGAAGCAGATGGACATTGGGCCTCCACTCAAGTACACCCTCAACACAAGAACACTTTGTTCTAATAACCTGGCATTCCATGATGCTCACTTTCCTGACACAATCGCTGAAGACAAATGGGTGCATAAGCAAATGTGGTGAAGAAAGCTGATGGTGCCCGGCTATCAAAAGATATAACATCTGGGGTCTTAAAGGCTTGAAGGTAAACAAGTGGCCATCTAGCTCAGAATCAACAAAGCCCACATGGAAGAAGC